TTTTGTAAAAAACTCGACATATTTAACTTTGCAAGCAAAATTGTTGAATTTTGTACTTGAATTCGTATACAGTATACCCAAGAACATACGGAACGGTACCTTGAATCAATTTATTGTTTCGTTTTATTCATAAATTTTGCGATCAAAAACATGTCCAAAAGTTGACATCTAGGTCGTGAATGGATTAATAATATAATAATAATTACTTGTTATATATGTACTAATTTTTACAATGTAAATTCACTATCAAAGTATATTTTATCTAAAAATTCATGCCTTTTTAGAATATCCTTAAATATTTACTATTTATAGTATATTTTCAGAAATTTCAATCACAGCATTCAAAAGAGCGAGATTATATTTTTGTTAAAAATTTCATTATCAATCTTTTCTTAAAAAAATATACAGTTCAGGCACTAGTAAGTTTATAGTGATAAATATTATAATGATATAGAGAAATATAACTTATGTTCATCATAAATAATTAATATCTTTATTCTATAAATTACTCTTGCACATTAATATTTACATTTTTTACTGTTTTGAGTAATTACTTAATCAATATAATTTGTTATTAGCATTTGTTATAATAAAAAATATATCTTTATGTACTAAAAACAGTATTCAAATGGTACTAATAAATGTTTTTTAATTAATAAATCTTCAAAATCAGTGTATTTGCAATTTATTTTGACAACTAAAATTAAAAATAGTAGATTAACCTACATAAACAAAATAAGATTAAAGAAATAGTTACATAGTAAGTAAGAAATATGAAATAACGAATTAGTTTTTTTATTAACCCGTTTAAGTGGCCGAAAGTACCACTTGCAATAGAGCGGTCTTTGAAATGTTGTATCTAATTCTGCAAACATAAACAAATTGAGAGCGGTACACTCTGAAAGCTTAGAATAAGCCCTTTCCAATGATGAACTTAAAATTGTATAAAATTATAATTATTTATGAAGAAATGGCATTTAAACAAAAAAGCATGAATTTGCACTCTTTATTTACTTTTGTTTAAATCCGGTTTTGAAAATGTTTCCCCTTTTTTTCTGCACGGTGTTAATCAATAGTATTTCATCTGTAAATTCTCAGCAAAAATCTATTCTCCATTATTTCATGAAAACTCATGATTTGGCTCTAACTTTTTCTGTGCTTCTGTATAATTATGAAAAATAGATTGATATGATACAGTTGGAAATGAAATTTCTGATTCCAAATTTTCATCATCTGACTTAAAATCTCCATGAAAATCTGAGTTGTCTGGATCAGGTATTATTATATACTCATTTTCATCAGAATCCAAAACCGAATCATGAGTTAATTCAGAATGGTCCTTTTTGAAATTTCTAGTGCTTTACGCTTAGGAATTTTTTCACGTTATTTTAGAATTCAGATTTTTTATTATAGAAGTAAATAGTCTGATACTGTATCTATTGACAGAATAAAGCAAATGACGATTTATTATTTTAGTGCTCCAATAATTTACTCGGCCAAGTATCTATTTTCGGACATGACGTTGTGCAAGTTGACCAAGTGTAAAACCCGAATTCCAGAATATTTTCAGCGAAAATACGAGGAATCTAGATTGCTACAAACTTTCAAGCACAAAGTGTGCGAAAAATTGCAAATCACGAACGGTATTACCAAGCAAATTCGGGAAAACGAGAAAGAAGAAAAAAGACGTTATTTGTGGTCAAAGAATTTTTTTAATGAAAAGCGGTACGATTAAAAGGAAATTGATTAGCATAAAATATTCTTAGAATCAGCTATAGAATATATGAGAATTTTTTGAAAGCATTTTGAGCAATTTTTTGATTTTGTAAAAATAAAATATCATTGATCCATTATTTCGTAAGAATAAAAAATCTAAGATAAGTGAAAAGGAGTTGAAAATTGGTGCATCTTTACCCACTTATAAGGTTGCAGGAAACGACAACAATAACATAATATGAATTATGTGTATTGGGATGATCCAAATAAGCACGTCGATAGTCTTCAATTACTCGTAGCTCAACAATCAGCAGGTAACAATAGTCATATCAACGAAATCCATTTGATAATTCAGAGACTACGCGTGGGTGAATATATATTGAGAGCTTACTACCATCTATTTATTATCAAAATAAGCATTGACGTATTTGGACGTTAACTTAGACATTGAGCTAACGACCGTTGGATCCACTAAGTTTCGAATTCAAGCTCACGTCAGAAGGTCATTTCGATCTGTAAAATAAAAGATTAGAGAATATTGCTCCATCACTAAATTTTTACAATGCTATTAAGTTTCAAACTGTTCAACGCACCGTTCAGTCGAAAGTCAAAACTGTTACAGATATCATCACAGCATACTTGAAAAGTAATCTCAATGACTTAGTTGAAATAAATAAATTAAGGATAAAAATAGGTACTCAAAATACAGAAGTAGACTGGTCGTCCGATGGAGCATCAAAAAGTAATGGAAGAGCTTTGCAAAGCAGCTAGACGTGATTACGATTTTCGAGGAATAGATGAGACCTGATAGGTCGATGTCGTCGATATGCAGGCTTATTGTAAAGAAAATCGCGGCTACAATTGGCTTTTCACGATAATTGATAATTTTTCGAAGCATGCGTGGACCGTGCCGGTCAAAAGAAAACTGGTAGTGACACTGAAATCTGTTTAAGTGAATGATCGAGTACCTTTTTCACGGATAGATGCACGAAATTTTACAATGCAACTTTCGAAGCTCTTGTAAAAAAATATAAAATTAATCTCTGTGTCATCCAATTTTGATGATTGTCACGGCAAGTTTTACACGAGTATAAGTCGAGTTATAATAAGGCGCGTGTGGGTACTTGCAGGAATCTAGGCGTCGAAGTCGGCAGTTATATAATAATACTTTTTATGATAAAGTGACAGAGCTCCAGAGAGATGTCTTTACAAGGCGAATCGTGTACAGGACTGACTGCGCTTGTCCCTCTCGGGGGCTCACAAACTTAAGATAAGTCCCTACCACTTCCTTCAGGCATAAGTATATCCTGGGAACCGAGAGATTCATATAGCTTAATTGTTTATTTAGGTTTGCAGCTGTCTATGTTCTATTTCATTTCTGGTCTATCATGTATTTCCCGCATACAGTTTGTTTGTTTCGGCCTATCTTATATCTTCTACTTCAGTCGGCCCGCGTGTGCAACGAATACACGTGTATGACATATGTTCTTAGCTACAGGAGATAACTATATTATTTTATTATTAGTTCGCATAACAATTCCTTCCTTAAGCTAATTCTTGCCCTCAAGAATCTCACAATATGTTCGCAACCTGTGGTGGCACTTTGTGCAACATAACAGAGTTACAGACTATATCATTATTAATCGGATCGACAACAGCTTTAACGTTAGAGCAACGAGTGTAGGTAACTATATCTGAAGTGGATGCACGATTATGACAACAACAATGTCCTGTAAGACGTCTAAAAATATATCGTAAAAATACAGCTATGGCACTAAACAACCCTATCTTATCAGTTCCAATCGGGAGATGCTAGAGAGCAGACGTGTTTACAAACGCTCCGCTTCTGCACGAATTCCAAAATCGTTCACGGGCTTAGCCCAAGTCTTCGCGTATCGTGTAATTCGTATCGCGAACTGTGTGCACGTGATAGTGTACAAATCAACTAAATTAAAATGGAAAACCAAAACAAATCTCAATCAACTGTAAAAAATCTACCTACCTTTGTCATACAGAACCAAAAAACGTACGCCAATGCTACTCAAAATTTACTGAAAAAGGATCAAGGCATCTTGTTGGACTGCGTGGAAGGATTAACTTTAACTGACTACACCTGCACCGTTGGAGATCTAGTTCAACCTTCTGATGTCATTTACGCCTCACGCATATCAAATAATCGAGTATGTATCTATTTGATCAACAAAGAAATCGCTTTCTCATTCACGAACAAATATAGTTCCTTGAAAATTCACGACAAAAACGTAACCATCAGACCACCAATAACTAAAAGTAAAAGAATCATCTTTTCAAACGTGTCTCCAGATATTCCTAACTATATTCTAGAAAATATTTTAGAACAACTCGCCGTCAAACGCCAATCTCCTGTTTCTACATTAAAAGCGTCTATCAGTAAAGAAGGATACGGACATGTTGGTAGTTTCAGAAGACACGTATATGTTAATCCAGACGACGTATTAAAAATTCCAGAGCTATTTAAAATAAACTTTAACGAAATAGACTACTACATATTTGCCGGTCCCGAATTCCTTAAATGTTTCTCCTGTAATCTTGAAGGTCACTTGGCGAAACACTGCCCAAGCTCTAGTACACAAGCCCTCGCGCAACCACAACAAATAGATCGAGAAGAAAATTTTCCGTCTATCTCAAAAACATTCGATGCGTCTACTCAACATGATGCAAAGACTAACAACGTAACTAATTCTAATACCAACCTGGCTCATACAAGAGAGACCAGGAGCTCTGCCAAACGCGACCATTCAGTAATAAGCTCCACCGATTCGGAAGAAGGAATCACTTTTCCAAGCCCAAGCTTCATACTCTCAACTGACAAAAATACGGTTAAAAAAGGCAAAAAAACCCAATCTGAAGACTCAACTGCAAATCAAGACAACCAAATGAAGTCTCAAATTGCAGATAGCCTAGACACACAGCTGTCCTCAATTAAAGAATATCTGAACAAAGGAAATACATTATTGAACTACGACGATTTTAAAACTTTACTAGTAGAAATAAAACAAGCTCAAAATCCATTAGATATTATATCCCGATACAGCAATGACTTTGAAGCATTTTCTAAATTCCTAAAAGACGACATACACGCCAACGTTAAAAATAGCAGTATTAAAAAAAGATGTACACTGCTTCTAAAAAAAATCCAAAACAACGACAACGCCTACTCTATCACTCCCAACGACACACTGAGCCAATCTGACGCTGAATAAATTTAAAAAAAAATAATAATAATAATAAATAAATAAATAAAAATGGAGGAATTAATAAATAAGGATCTTAAAATAGCATTTTGGAACTGCCGTAGCATAAACCAACGTAAGGAAGATCTCCACGCCCTACTCGATCAAGTAGACATTCTTGCTTGTGTCGAATCTTGGCTGACAGAAGCAAACCATCTCCACTTCCCCGGCTTCAAGACATTTCGAAAAGATCGGAAACACGCACAAGGAGGAGGAATTCTGATCTTAATACGTAACAATATTGCCTACAAAGAAATAGAAGAGCTTACCTGCTCTAAACAATCTATAGAACTAACAGGTATAAAACTTACAAATATCAAACCTCAAATTGACCTCTTAGTCTGTTACAGAGCTCCGGGCATCACCCTCAGTCAAACTGTATGGGATGAAATATTTGATAAAATTGATAAAAGTAAATTTACCATTTTCTCGGGGGACTTCAACGCCCACAACACTATTTGGAATTGCAATAAAACCGATCTTAATGGAGAAAGACTGCATGAAAGTCTAAGCAACTCAAATATGTTCTTACATAATTTTGACACAATTACCCACGTCACTTCACACAGTTGTACATATTCCAATTTAGATCTTATTTTCTCATCAACCAATTTTGCGTACAAAATAAATACAAAAGTAATGGAAGATACCCTGAGCTCTGATCACTACCCGATTATAATCGACGTTTCCATTCAAAAGAACTTTTTTTACAAAAAAACATTTAACCTAAAATCAAAAAGAACGAACTAGGAAAAATTCCATGAAGAACTCGAAAATAATTTCTCCCAATTCTTCTCACTCGAATTCGAAAATCTTATCGTAAAAGAAAAATACTCAGTATTTACAAACATAGTCTCCAATGCTCTTGTATTTAGCACTCCCAAAAAAAGAATTGTTAGCAAAAAAATTCATAGAAATCCAGTTAGGTAGTGGGATCAGGAATGCGACAAAATTAAAAGACTACGCCAAGCCGCTTTTAAGAAATGGAATTTTTCAAAAACTCAAAAAGACTACATTGAATATAAAAAGATATGCGCGCTAGCTAAAAAAGAATTCAAAAGAAAAAAAAAAGAAAATCTGATACTCTTTGCAGAACGACTCAATGCTAGAACCGATCCTAATTATGTATGGCAAACATCGCGAATACTAAAAAATTCATGGATTAAAAATAAGCCTCAACACGTATCCGAGAACCACCAAGATCGAGAAAAAATTGACATAGCCTTAAATAAAATCAGTCCCCCGTGGTGTATGACAAACCCAGATTGGCTCCCAGAATGCAATAATAACGATTTCCTTGACTCTCCCTTCAACCTTTTAGAATTTAACGTTGCCCTTGAATCAAAAAATAAACATTCTTCCTGCGGTTTAGACGGTATAGATTATGACGTACTTCAAAGATTACCACTAAAATATAAACTAATTATGCTTGACATATTAAATGAGATACTCGTAAATAATTCATTTCCAGAACAATGGCTTAAATCTTATGTTCATTTCATTAAAAAAGCAGACGACAAAAATGTCAGGCCGATCAGTCTTTCGTCATGCTGTTGTAAACTTTTTGAAACTATGGTAAAAAACAAGATGCAATGGTGGCTCGAATTTAATAACATCCTTCCCAAGAGCCAAACTAGATTTCGAAAAGGGCAATCTACTACAGACAATTTGACCGGTTTAACCTTAAATGTAGAGGATTCTTTTAGTAATAAAAAAGACCTCCTTGCTGCATTTCTGGATGTACAAGGCGCATTTGACAACGTGAATATTAATATTCTCTTGCAACAATTGGCAACAATTGGCTGCCATCTTAAATTGGTCAAATTTATCAAATTCCTAACACAAGAAAGGTACATTTTTACTGAAATTAATGGAAAAAAGTTTAATATTATCTACAAGGGAGTTCCACAAGGCGGCGTCCTCAGTCCTCTTTTGTTCAACATATATGTTGTTCAAGTTTGCGAAAATCTACTTAAAACTGTCACTGTCTCTCAATTTGCTGACGATATCGCCCTGTATTGCAAAAGAGGATCCACTAGCACTAGCAAACGTCTACTCGAAAAAGCTATTAAAAAAGTTAATCAAAACCTAAACAATTTAGGACTTAAACTCTCTGCGCATAAAACTATTTTCATTCATTTCAACCGTCGTAACATAAAACCAGGCGAAACTGAAATAAAGGTAAATAACACACCCGTAAAATCTAGTGAAACGGCCCGATTCCTGGGTATCACTTTTGACTATACACTGTCTTTCAAACAACAGACCAACTTAATTATTAACAGAGCCTCTAGAGCCTTAAATATCGTTAAATTCCTTAGAGGTACTTGGTGGGGCGCTCATCCCAACATACTGACCCTATTTTATAAAAGTTTTGTAAGATCTATTATTGATTATGGATGTTTTATTTACTTCCCCACTCGAGCTGACGCCCTGCTAAAGCTTGAACGAATACAATACAAGTCAATTAGATTAGCTTTAGGATACAGAGCAAGCACTCCCACAAATATTCTGTTAGCTGAATCAAAACTACCCCTTTTAATAGAGCGTTCTAAATACTTATGTCATAGTTATCTAAACAAAATATATTCAAATAAGGAACTTTCACTTAACCAGACAATTACCAACTTCAATAGATTATTAACAAATAAAGACACCAGTCATCGTAAATTTAGTAATAGAATTCTCCAAACCTGCATTGAAAACACCTTCCCTTCCAAAAATAAAATTTACTCCAAAAATAATTTTCCAATATATACTACAAACTATGCAGTACAAACAATCAATGTAAAATTAAATACGGAAATAGGACAAAAACTAAAAAAAAGCAACGACCCTAACTCAGTACTCAACAAAATAATAAGTGAAAATCGGAACGCAAACATAATATTTACCGACGGTAGTAAATCAGCTGATTCAATATCAGTGGGTAGTGCCTGCTTCCACGTAAATAAAAATAAATCTATTGTAAGAAGCATCGATAAAATCGCTTCCATATTCACCGTCGAATGCCTTGCCATTAACGATACCGTAGACATCGCGCTCGAGTATCCTAACCAAGGATGCTTTATATTCTCCGACTCACTTAGTGCTCTTCTGTCACTCAAAAATTACAAAAATAACGTCAAAACTAATCCCCTCCTCCTAGAAATTCGAGAAAAAATTTATGAATTTCAAAAGAAAGCACACAAAGATTGCGAAATTGTTCTTGTATGGATACCAGCTCACGTAGGGATAAATGGAAATGAAAAAGCAGACCAACTCGCCAAGGAAGCTGCCAGCTCTGCATCTACTGACATTTATAAGATCCCATTTACAGATTTCAAAGAAATAGCAAAAAAGAAATCAATAGAAAATACATTAGACTCAGTCAAATCTCAAGGACAAATCAAAGGCACTGAATACTTCAAAAACTACTACAAAGACAGTTCTCAGCCTTGGTACTTCAAAATCAATCTACCACGGGAAATTATATCTACCATCAACAGATGTAGAGCTGGTCACTACAACCTTGCCTTTTCCTTAGCACGAATAGGAGTCAAAGATAACTCTCATTGCGAATGCGGCGACGAAAATCAAACGATCGATCACATTCTATGGAATTGTTCCTTATACGATCAAGAACGTCAACCATTCATTAGAAAACTGCAAAAACTTAAATTCAGCCTTCCTACATCTTGCGCCACACTTTTAGCGAACCCAAATACACGTATATGTAAAGCTATTTATAACTATCTAAAAAAATGTAAACTACAGATTTAAAGTTATTTATGTATGTATAAATATATGTAATATATCTATGTAAAGCCAAATAACTGTCTCACGACAGTTCAAATGCTTAAATAAAAAAAAAAAAAAAAAAACCCTATCTTATGACTGATATAAATTGCTATAAGTGCGAGCGCAATGTATCCAGCGTAGTGCAGATAATCTACGGCGGTAGCGATATAAGAGTGATGACGTTGTTCCCTTGATAATAATTCAAGCTCCTCCTCTATTTGTTTTAAATTTGACGCTTTTGTGTGTAAATTCTCTAAGTGATGCGTTTGTAAGGTTAATGTAGGAATCACGGATGAGGTATTTTGTGGAAGTGATGGAATGTCTATTTTTGGGTAGCTTTCAGTATCAGTACGTACGTCATGTGTGATTTCGAGTCTGTAATCAACATTAGTAAGAAAACATCCGTCAGATAGTTGTACAACAGTTGGTAGCTCTATTTGCAAATCCTTTATATAAGAACGACAGAAGAGACTAAACTGCATCACAGCGGTAGGTAGTATGTAGAAGTTGGTGTTGTTTAATCTTTGTATGAAGGGTTGCGATAATGCAAAATACTTTGGCGGGCATTTCGTTACATCGTCAAAGAGAAGTCTTTCACAATTATCTAGTGACTGCAGGCGTTTTGGAAAGAACTGAATTGGGCATAGTCTTCCTTGATCATTGCGTGAGCATGTGTTAACGTCATCAATAGTCGTGTATTTAGTGTTATCCTTTGATACGAGTATGTATTGCTGTGTTATATCGAACAATCCAAGTACGTTTAAGCGACTTTCAAAAGGTAGTGCTCGTAACTTTAAAATTTCATAAGGATCTGCATGTGCAATGGGGTATTTAGTAACTATTGTAAGTTCTGCTTTGGATATGTATGATAAAAATATCATGGACTGTATAATAGAGAAATAATTATTTATGTGAGGTGGTAAAAGTATGTCGATATATACATTTTGTTCATATGCTTCACGTAGACCTTGTATGAGTGTTTCTGGCTTCATAAGTGCTGGTGATAATAAGCCGTTTCGAGCAATGTTTATAGCCGTAAATAACTCTGTAATATAATTATCGTATTCTTCAATCGCTACGTCGATTTCTTCAAGTGATAGATGTATCATTGTGTTTGCCTGATAGTCTGTAAATACAAATTTCATTTTCTTACTCCAATTTAACAATTCCTACTCGTTATTTTTGAATGTATGAAATTCTTTTGAAAATTCATTAAAAGTATCCTGCATAAATATTGTTTGATTTCTTACTGCTAGCAGGGCTTTCCCTGTATGGTTATATAGTTTGTCGATTTCTTGATTATAGTACTCTGCGTCATTTGCGTCCATTATACCAAAAAGAAATTTGTTGACTGATCCGACAAAGTTAAATAAGCCTCTTTTTTTCTGTTTTTGGCTTCTACAGGGTGTGGCTGAAAAAGCGATAACTTCTGCGTTAGACTACGTAATCGGCGTTTCTGATGTGCAATGAAATCTTTAGCTTGACACTTGTAGCCACTACACGTGGTAGTTATGAGATCTAAATGCTGTTTAATTTCTCTACTATGGTCCAAGTATCTTCGTAAAGAAAAGCAGTGCCGAAATTCTGTCTCAGCAATGGTACAGATTGATGTGTTATGCTGATTTTTCCTTGTACATTAATGAATATGTTGAGTAGCACTAAGAGTTCCCTCATCTGAAATAAAAACGTCAGGCAATGGCTTTAATTGATTAAAATGTCGTCTAAATAAAGTATTATTATATAATATCTGGGTGGTATTAGCATTTCGATTTATTGTAAGTATTGTTCCCGGCCCTTGATATTCGTTCCCTAACTTGAATATCACTTGTTGCTGTAATTCTGGTTTGAATTTTAATGCTTGTCGTGAGTCCACAAATTTTTTATTTTTCTGTTTATTTTTATCGATCTTTACTTTTGCGGTGATTTTATCTCGATTGGCTTTGTGGAATCTTCCTTCGATAATATCTCGTAGCAGAGGACCGGTTATCATTTCACGTGGTGCACGGGCATAAAAGAGTTCGTAAGGTGAAAATCCTGTGCTTGGGTGTATTGTATTGTTGTAGCTCATTACTGTAGGTATGTGTGATCGGTTGTTTTCTAGTGCTCGAGTAACTTTATTTTTGAGTGTGCCAATAACTCTCTCGCAAATTCCATTCGATTGAGGGTGTAAAGGCGTAACTGGATAGTGGCTTACTCCATATTGTTCTAATAGCTTTTGAAATGACTTTGAATGAAATGTTGAGCCATTATCGGATATTATCTTTTTAGGCGTCCCCCATTCGCACAATAGGTTTTTAAGGGCATCTGTAGTTTCATCGAAACTATTTAGAATTATGACCTTTACATATCTTGATAGTGCTTCGATTACAAATAAATATAAATATTTCTTTGGTTGCGCATGGTCTATGTACCAGATTTCGTTGATATCTGAGGGTGCTTCAATGAGTGTGCCTGACGCTCGGAATCGTTTCTTTATCTCCTCGTTACGACAGTGTTCACACGAATCGATCCAATTTCTTATATCCTCTGTTTTTGTTTCCCAACAGTATTTTCCAAGTTCAATTTTCATTTTATCTTGCTTCCAGTGTGTTTCACCGTGTGCCCTACCTAGTAGTGTTTTTTGTGTAGCTTCATTATTTACGTGTTGCTGCTTTGTGCTTTTAATGTAGAGAGTTGGTCGCCTCATTTTCCTGGCCATTTCAGCAAATTTCTGAATTAATTTTTGAGATGTACTGTGATCGATTTTTCTGAATTCTAGAGTTTCATCAGCTTTGAGTTTATTAAGAATGTCTATTACTACGGGCAGTGGATTAGTTATAAGCTCTTCAGAAGGTTCCAAAATTACGTCTCCTTTACATTTATTATTCATAATAACTTGCGACTTTATTTTTGGCCTTCCTCGCTGGCGAGGTAGTCGTTGTTTTAAAGGCAGATCTGAATCTTCAACATCGTTTGTTATTGGCGATAATGATCTTGCCGTAGTTTTAGGTTGCTCACTAGCTATATCCGGGTCAGCTAGGGGAGCAGATTTGATAGTTTTGTTTGCATCAACTGGTTTTTTATAACGATGTTTTCTTTTTATGTAAAGCCGATTAATGCCGTTTGATGTTGCTACCATTCTTAGGAGGCTGATCGAATTTTCAACTTCTTGTAGTGTAAAATCTTCACTAAATTCTAACGCTTTAGTCCCCTTTTCGGTCGACTCCTTCAATAATTTTGTTGCTGGCGTCGATTGCCATTTGTCCTTTGATAGCGAGAGCAGGGTAACGGTCTCGCGTCCATACAATGCTGCAAAGAGTTTCAGTGCAAAATGCTCGGCTAAGTGCGTCGGCGTTCGTATTTAATCTACCCTTTTTATATTCAACCATTGGCTGAAAGTCAGCTATTTTAAGGAGTAGTTTAAATATTCTCGATCCGATTTCGGGTGACTTTGTCTTGATTAGTCCGGCCAAAGGTGCATGGTCGGTTATGAGAATAAATGGCTTTCCATATAAAAAGTGTCTAAAATGCCTTATAGCCCAGACGGCTCCGAGCAATTCTTTCTCAGTGGTCGAATAGTTTTTCTCTGTGCTATTGAGTGCTCGTGATGCGTATGCACAAGGTAAATCTTTTCCCTTTTTGTAATCTCCTTGACTTAATATTGCTCTGAGTCCTTCGTTACTTGCATCGGTTGTGAGTATAAATAATTCTTCGAGGTTTGGGTAACGTAATATAGGCGCTGAGGTTAATTTTTCTTTCAATGTTTTGAAGGTTTCTTGGCATTCATGAGTAAATTCAAACTTTTGGTCCTTACACATGAGCTTATTTAAAGGTACGATTATTTTACCGTAGTTTTTGATGAATTTTCTATAATATCCGCATAGACCTAATAGCTGTCGTACTTCCTTTTGATTAACGGGTTGTTTGTAGTTCCTTATACAGTCTATCTTACTTGGGTTCAGTAAAACTCCTTCTTTTGTAATTAAGTGTCCAAGGTATTCTAATTCTGCCTTTACGTATTCGCATTTATCTGGTTGTAGTTTTAATTTTGTCTTCCTCAGTCGTTGAAATAAAGTTTGTAAATTTTGCAGGTGCTCTTCAAATGTTTTTGAATATACTATGATATCGTCTAGATATACAAAGCATATTGTGCCAATCAATCCTTGCAATTTTAAATTCATTATGCGCTGAAAGGTCGCGGGTGCATTTTTGAGTCCCATTGACATCTGTTTAAATTCCCAATGTCCTTTGTGGGTGCTGAATGCTGTTCGTTCGCGGTGCTCTGGTAATACAGGGACCTGATAAAAACAGCTAAAAAGGTCAAACACGCTAAAGTATCTTGTTTCTCCTAATTGATCTAAAATTTCATCTATTGAGGGTAGCGGATAGTTGTTGTGGAGTGTATATTCATTTAATTTCCGAAAGTCAATTACTACTCTATACTTCTGTACCCCTGAGGCATCCATTTTTTTTGGTACACACCATACGGGCGAAAGGAAGGGCGAATTTGACTTCACTTTTACTCCTCTTTCTTCAAGGTCCGTTATTTGTTTATCAATTTTTTTATGCAATGCCATCGGGTGTCGATATAGTTTTGAACTGATAGGCTGAGCTATAGTGAAATCTATTCGGTGATATACGTCATCGAGTGAAGGGGCGGCATCTCCTTCAAGTTGAAATATATCCGAGAAAGCTCTAACAAGTGTTAAGATAGCATTGGCTTGTTCTTGCGGCAGGTGTGAAACCCGTGTATTCTCAGTAATAAGTTTGTCCCTATCCTGCGTTGCATAGATATTACTTTCTTGAGAATAGAACTGTTGTAGAAGCGCTTTCTTCTGGTCGTTAGGAATGTTATTGTTTAATATTGAAATGTTTTCTTTGAATTGTTCTATGTGTAAGTCAGTGTATATATTGACTTATTTCTTTGAATGATTTATGCAACTTAATTTTGCTTTTCCATCCCTTACGTTATAAATTGCAGGCGTCACTATGTTTTTCTGATC